TTCAGGAATATCTTTTTGCTCCAAGACTTAAGGAATTCCTCAAAAATTATGGAAACATGAAAGAAAGAAAAAACAGGAACTAGCTTAAAGGGGCTCCCATCAGCCATATTTGGGACAATTTGAGCATAAAAGTGATTAGTAATAGTAACAGATTATAACCAATACAAATTTTAAAAAGCCCATAAAATCATACTGCTAATTACCTAAAATGATAAAAGAAAAAATCCCTTCTTTACATTAAAATGTCAACTAATAAGTATAGAAAGACTGATATACTTACAGAATTTATTATTTAACAAACATTATAGTACTAACTGATATATACAAGAACCACAGATGCTCAAGCCACTGAGTGAAAACTTGATAAAAATAGGATATCTATACAATCTTATATTATCTCCCCACAGATAAATTAATTTTAAAAGCCAAAATCATAAGTATACAGCAGAGAAACTGATGAACACATTAGCCAAGCAATCAAACTAATCCCAAATAGAGAACAAACTTACACTATGTGCCCCTGCTTACACTATGTGCCCCTGATGTGATATACTGTGAGGGACACAATGTCACTTCTGTCATATTTCTGATAAAAATGCATAACTTAGTCATGAGAAAACATTCAGACAAACCTAATTTGAGGAACATTCTACAAAACAACGGAAATCCCTTCTTTAAAAAAAATTCAATGCATGACGATTTTCTGCCACTGGCTTTTGTTGGCTGAAGCAGTCAGAATTCAATAAAAGGGTCCGGATGATGCAGTACATAAAGATCAGTCTAGCCCTGGCCTTTTTGGCTCAGTGGTTAGAGTGTCGGCCTGCGGTCCAGAGAGACCGGGATTCGGTTCCCGCTAAGGGCGCGTACCTCGGTTGCAGTTTGTCCCCAGCCCTGGTTGGGTCGTGTGGGTGGCAACCACTCGATGTGTCCCTTTCACGTTGATGTTTCTCTCTCTCTTCTTCTCTCTCCCTCCCACTCTATCTGAACAATAAACTGAAAAAAATGTCCTCCGGTGAGGATAAAATAAAAAAATCAGTCTACCAGGGTGAAAATTCGAGTGAAGATGGATACAGAGTAGATCTGGGGCAAGGGAGAAAAATGGAGAAATCAGCTACAAAACACCTACAGCAAACTTCATACTTAAAATGTTGAAAGCTTTTCTTTTTTAAATCAGAAAATTTACAAAATACCTGTTATCATTCTTTATATTTAACATTATCCTGAAGATCCCAACCAGTGTGATAAAACAAGAAAAAAAAATAACATTATATAACACAATGATAGAAAGTGGCAAATAAAAGTGTTATTACTTGAAGAAGAGCTCATAGTAGACTATCCAAAGAATCTACAGATAAATTATCAAAATGAATCATTGAAAATCATTATGCTGGGCATCTTAACTTATACAATAATGTATGTCAATTTTTATCAGTAAAACTGTAAAAAAATTAAAAATTTAAAGCAACCACTTGAATTTAGCAACTTTACTTAATTCAATAGCTAGATGCAACTATCAGTTACATTTTATATGCCAGTAATAAGTTAAAGATTATATTCTTTTAACAATAAAAATGTTATTTAAAATAGTACCAATGTTACTAAAATCTAAAAAAAAATTTTTTTAAAGGCAACATATCCATAGAGAAGACCTGTTCTATAAGATATCAAGACTTTTTATAAAGCTAAAGTAATTATGAAAGTGTAGTATTTGTATATGGATTAACAAATAGATCATTGGAACAGATTAAAGAGCCCTGAAAGAATCCATGCATATAAATGTACACTTGATTTACGACAAATGTGTAAGGCATTGGGGAACAACAGCAGTAAATGGTGCTGAACAATCAGATACCACATGGAAAAAATTCAACTTGACCTCAACCTTATACCTCAACATATACTAAAAAGTAATAAGCAGAATATAGATGCAAACATGAATGATAAATAATAAGGTTCTCAGAAAATACTATGAGAGAGTTTCTTGATGCCATCAAGTTAGGAAAGATATTAAATACAACGCAAAAATGTTCACTTTTTTTTATAAATGTTAGAATGTTAAAAAATAAGAACTTCTGTTCATAAAAACAAAGTAACAACAACAAAAACAATGTGAAGAAAGCAAAAAGGCCACAGATGTGAGAAGGTACTGTCAACATGTATAAATGGCAAAAGGCTCATATTGACTATGTATACAGAACTCCTATAAATAAAAAGTCATACAGCCCGACAGAAAAATGGACCGGAAAATGCACATGCATTTCATAAGAAGAGATATCTAAATGGTCAGTAAATTTCTGAAAATATGTTCAACTTCATTAAAGAAGATGTAAAATGTAAATTAAAACTATATATAGGCACTGAATTGGCTAGAATTAAAAAGACTAAAAATACAAAGTGTTATCAAAAATAAAATGAATATTGAAACTCTCTTATATGGCTGGTGGAAATCAGCACAACCATACTGGAAGATCTCTTGGCTGTACTTCTAATATTAATCCAGAAATTCTACGCATAAGGGTATGCTCAAAGATATTTAAAATATGTACCTCAAAGGAAATTTCAATAGTCAAAGGAGCATTATTTATAATAACTGTATATAGGAAACAAATCAAATATCTATCAAGTATAGAATGAATCAATAGTCAATAAATGGTACCGAAACCTCGGAATGGCCGAGACAATTGACAGGCAATTCACAAAAAAGAACCCAGATTGGCCAAGAAACATGAAAAAGGATTCCACCTTAAAAATTAAAACCCCCGTGAGATACCATTTTTCACCCATCAGATAAACAAAAAGGTCAATGTTAAGAAATACACATATTGGCACAGATACAGGACAACAGGAACTGTTACACACTGAGGGTGAAAGTATACATTGTTGCAGCCATATCAGAAAGTAATTTGACTATATTAAGTGAGGTTGTTATGAATATACATTATAAACGCAAAATTTTACTTCTAGATAATCCCCCTAAACAAACAAGCAACAATTATTTACTCTGTATGGAGGGAGCTAGGAACAAAAATGCACATAGCATCATTGGTTTTAATAGTGAATATGTAAATGTTTATCAGTAGAATGCTTTGTGATACATGAAATACTATTCATCAGTGAAAATGAGTGATTTAAAGCTAATCATATTTACATAGATAAATCTCACAAAAATAATGACAAATGAAACTTTTTGCAGGACACGTACAGTAATGGTTATAAATCATGCAAATAATACCAAATAGATTTCTACACTTGTAATAAAAGTACAATGAACTGCACTGGAATAATAAACTCAAATTCAGGAGAGTAGCCACTTTGAGGTTAAGAGAATACATGGAGGAGTAGTACTTGGGTGTTTGTAATATTTTACTTCTTAAAAAAGACGATGGGGAATAGCCACAGTAATCTTGAAAAAGAAGAACAAAGTTGGAGGGATCACATTACCAGATTTCAGATTATACTACAAAGCCTCTGTAATCAAAACAGCCTGGTACTGGCACAAGAACAGGCATATAGACCAGTGGAACAGAACAGACAACCCTGAAATGGACCCAAGGCAATATGTTCAATTAATATTTGACAAAGGTGGCAAGAGCATACAGTGGAGTAAAGACAGCCTCCTTAATAAATGGTTTGGGGAAAATTGGACAGCTACATGCAAAAAATGAAACTAGACCATCAACTTACACCATACACAAGAAGAAACTCAAAATCGATAAAAGTCTTAAATGTGACTCATGAATCCATAAAAATCCTAGAAGAAAATGTAGGCAACAACATTTCAGACATCATATGCAGCAGAATTTTCACTCATACATCACCTAAGGCAACAGAAACAAAGGAAAAAATGAACACATGGGACTACATCAAACTCAAAAGCTTCTGCACAACAAAATATACAATCATCAAAATGGAAAGGCTACCCACTGTATGGGAGAGCATAATTGCCAACGATATATCAGATAAGGGGTTAATTTCCAATATATAGAGAGTGCTCATACAACTCAACAAAAGGAAAACAAAGAACACAATTAAAAAATGGGCAGAGGACCTAAATAGACACCTCTCCAAACAGGACATAAAAATGGCTAAGAGACATATGAAGAAATGCTCAACATCATTAATCATCAGAGAGATGCAAATTAAAACAACAATGAGGTATCACCTCACAACTGTCAGAATGGCTGCCATCAACAAATCATCAAACAAGTGTTGGCGAGGGTGTGGAGAAAAGGGGACTCTAGTACACTGCTGGTGGGAATGCAGACTGGTGCAGCTACTATGGAAAGCAATATGGTGTTACCTCAAAAAATTAAAAATCGAACTTCCATTTGACCCAGTGATCCCACTTCTAGGAATATACCCTAAGAAGCCTGAAACACCAATCAGAAAGAATATATGTACCCCATGTTCATAGCAGCACTATTTACAATAGCTAAGATCTGGAAACAACCCAAATGTCCATAAGTAGAAGAATGGATAAAAAAGCTGTGGTACATATACACAATGGAACACTATGCAGCTCTAAGAAAGATCTCTTATCCTTTGAGACGACATGGAGGGACCTGGAAAGTATCATCCTAAGTGAAGCAAGCCAAACAGAGAAAGACAAGTATCATATGATCTCACTTATTTGTGGAATACAATGAACATAACAGTCTGAGGAATGGGGTAGTCCCAGAGACATGGAAGTGGGGTACAGATTGACAATCCCCAAAAGATGGGGTGATGGGGAGAGATAAACCACAGAACTTATATGCATGTGTGAATGAACAATGGACATGGACAACAAAGCTGGGGACAGGGCCGGGAGAGAGGAGGAGGGGGGAATCAGTGGGGGAAAAGGAGAAACATCTGTAACAAAAATTAATTAATTAATTAATTAATTAATAAAAATGATGATGGGTACAAATGTATGCTTCAAATTGTGTTTTAACATATATTAAACATTTCACCATTTATTTTGTTTAAGAGAGCGAGACCAGACTATGAGTTACCTGAAATCTAGACATTTCAACTGATGAGTCAGCACGAGGGAGTCACTTTACACCACGATGTAGGAAGAGTCAGAGACGGCAGCCAGTGAGTGCCTCGGACAGAAGAGAGGCTTTGATTTGACTAATGCAGGCTTCAAATGATGAGGGTCTCCCCTACACTTTGGGAAGTAAAAAAAGAGAAAAATCAACAGACACTTCATGGTCCCTGTCCTTTTTACTTGGTGTCCTGACTCCCCGCCCCTCTGTACTTAGAAGGACATTCTACAGAAAACTGGACTAAAAGGAATAAACTTCATGTGCCCAAATCCAGCAAGGCTATGTCTCAAAGCACACAAGAGAGTTACCTTGAAGGAACAATGACAAATATAACACTTCTTTGCTCCCTCTAACCCAGTAAATGTCAAGTTTTAGACTGTACCCTTTTTATTTTGGGTGACAAATCCGTTGAGTTTTATTACTGCAATGCATGACTTTTCTATTCTGCCAAGCACACAATATTTATTTATTTTAATCTAACCAGTTGGCAGTGACCTCTATTCTCAGCAAGGCTGACTAAAATTAAGAGTTCATGCAGAGTGTGGCTCTCCCACCCAGACTAGCCCCTAGCACTCCTGCTGTTAACTTCGGAATTCTGATCTATTGAGAATGTCTGGGTCTTTGCTTTCTCCACGTCTAGGAAGTACAGACACATACATGGTTATAACTACATTTGCCAACAATGCTCCATTGACAACGAAAAAGTAGGTTGAAATTTTATGAGATTTTTATGGGTTGCTTTTGAGATTTAAAAAAAAATATGCTCTTAGTTATTAGATGTGTAGAGTTTGTTACATATATTTGTTTTCAAAATTTAAATAAGTAATGGTAGAGCTAGAAGTTCACCTTTGTATTTTCTATTACAAATACAAAAATCACAAATAGACCAAACTCCAGTTTATAGGATATCTGGATTACAGCAAACATCTAACCAAGTATCTTATGATACGTGTGTGGCCAAAATAGAGATCTATGTATTGGAGAGCTAGTGCAGCTAAGATCACTAACTGGTTGAGTGATAGGGACAAGTAATGAAGGGATGGTACCTTAAAAGGCAGGTTGATGCCCAGTTGGTGTGGCTCACTGGTTGAGCATTGACCCACGCACCAAGAGGTCTCCAGTTCGATTCCCAGTAAGGGCACATGCCCAGGTTGTGGCCCATTCCCCACTGGGGGGCATGCAGGAAGCAGCCAATCGATGTTCTCTCTCATTGATGTTTCTATCTCTCTCCCCCTTTCCCTACCTCTCTATCTAAAATCAATAAAGAAAAAAATTTTTTTTTAAAAAAGCAGGTTGACTCCAATTTATTGGAGTAATATACCACCCCTACAGCCCCGCACTATAAAATAATTAGCCCCTGGTACTCCCAAATCAGGACATTGATGGTGTATTGATTATTGCTCTAACATGCCCATGAAAATAGGATGATTCCTAGCACAGGTGAGAAAACCAGAATTCAAAGTGCTTTGTGCCGCCTGAAATGATAGCCCTCATCTAGCACAATGAAGTGTGATAGGGATAAATGCAAATCCATTTATCCATCAAATATGCATTTTCCACTTACTAAACACCATACCCCTGCTCTGGTGTTGAGGGAAACCCTTATCTTTACAGATGACATTTTCTTCCCAGTGGAGTCATATCTGTGGGTGGGGCTGTTTAATCCTGTGAGCCCTTTAAGAGCAGGTCTAGAGGTAAGAGATGCTCTCCTGAAGAAACAAATAGTTATGTTGTGAAGTGCCTTTGGAGATAAGTAGCCTCTAGGAGCCTCAGCTATGGCCTCAAGGAACTGAATTCTCCCAACTACTTGATCATAGAACAGGACCCCGAGCCTCTGATGAGACAGAAGCCCCAGCCGACACATCAGCTACAGCCCTGTAAAATATCCTGAGCAGAAAACCCAGCCAATCCACGGAACCTCTCAGTTAATAAATGTTAAGTCACACACACACACACACACACACACACACACACAAATGCAGTTCCAAGTCATTCCCTGCAGAGAAAGGAAGGCGTGAAGAGTCAAAGAAGCTAGGGGCATCCAGCAGAAAAAGGCATTTGAGAACTTCCAGTGCTCTGAGTAAGAAACAGAGTAGTTCGGGAATCAATAGAGAAGCAACTCAAGGTTGTTTTCTATGTCCTTATAAGTTCCTCAGTAGATGCTGGAATAAATGATCGAATCAGAGCATCTTCCGGGTAAAAGGAAACACTGAAAGAGGCCCGGATTGTGGTGACGACACCAGTTCTGCATAGGTTTGTATTTAAGGGCCTTTTTTTCTTAACCAGTGTTTTAATTAAGTTGGAGTTGTTTGTGTGTGTATGTGTGGGTGTGTGTGCACATGTGTGCACACACGTGTAGAAAAACTTCTGGACCTTTATAACTGTACTGAAACACATGGTAAATAAGAGGAGGAGGAGGAAGAGAAGAAGGTTAGAGGTATGTGGAAAGCAACACACATGTGATCTACACCAAATTTTTGCAGGGGCTTATATCTAAAATTGGGATGCATATCACTATATTTTAAATGTTTTCAAATACAGTTCCCCCAGTGATCTTGTGAAATAGTAGTCATTTGAGGGAACTTTTTAAATAAACTATACATATATACAACCAGAAATGAGGCCAGATCATTGGATACCACGCAGCCTGAGGAATGCTCCCAAAGCAATCACAACTGTGTAAATCACGCCCAGCCCAAGAAAGGGACCCCTGGCAGCCTCTGTCGTCCCTCCCGTCACATCCCCTCACCCAGGCAACCACTATTCGGACTCCTCACAGCATGGCTGCACTTTGGCATAGGTTTTCCATTTTCGTCTTACAGATGAGGAAAGTGGGGTTCAGAAAGCTGCACTGACCCCACAACAGTCATACAGTTCCCAGCTGGCCGGACCCCGTTCTCCTGACACCCAGCCCAGTGGCCTGCCTTCTATCCCACACTGCGACGTTTTCCTTCAGCTCCCTCGAAAATAGAAGTGACTTCTGTCCCTTACCTGGTGCTCGTAAACATTTGATACTGAAAAGTGTATGCAATGGTGAATCTGAATATGGATGTCCCAATATGGTTTTATAAGAATATTCCAGACTGAAAATAGTACTCGTGATTGCCCCCTTTCTTCTCTGTTATGAAAGACTGATATTGAAAAAATAAAATTTCTTACCAATTTTTAGTCCTTATGTCATACAGCTAAATAATTACACTCATGTCATCTTTGGAATACAGCATGTTGCTAATGTGTGTTGTTTTTCAAATCCTGATGAAATAATTCAAATATTATCTAAAGGGGAAACATTTCCAAGCAGGGAGCTTAGAAGAAACATAAAAACAGTGCAATCCTGATGAATGCCAGGTAATAACAAAGTTAATAGTCTCTATAAAGAAATAACACATTTCTTTTAAAAGTTAATGCAATTAAATTATCAACCTCTCTTCCTTTTTCTATAATTAGTCAACACTGAAATTAGTTGATCTTACTCTCCAATTTTCCTTCGACTTGAGGAAAAAGAATTTGTTGTAACACTAATGATTTTTTAAAGTTATCACCTTACAACTTCCAAATACAACAGATAGATTAAGCTTAGTCCAAAACTTACTTTGGAAAACCAAAGTATTTTGTTTAATGGACAGCAATTCTGATACTAACCTCAGTATTTTGGTCAACAGATCAGAATTCATATAAGTGATTTTTTTTTTTTTAAGAGAAATTATGGCTATTCTGCTAACACATTCTGTCAACTGCAGATTACGAGCTTACAACAGCTAGACTATTAAGATTATGCAGAAAAAAAATCTCATCCCTAAAAGACTGGGTAAACAAAAGTCTTCACTTCCTTTTTAATGTCAGCATCAGAGAGCAATTGGAAAATAGAAAAAGTAAAAACAACTCCTGAATGAGGTAATGTAGAAACACCATTCTTACTATTGCACTGAATTATTCAAAAATATAATGAAATTCCGGGAAACATCAGATGCTGCAGGTACATGAAAATAATTTTGTTTTTATAACCAATTTCAGGCAGATAAATACTAGAATCCGTTCCCATTTCTCCCCCATGGAACTGAAGTGTCACCAAGATTTACAGCCCCTCAAGTTCCCTTTTCAGAGGAACATTCATTTACATAAACAGATAATCCCAGATAAAAATTTCCATTAGACAAAGGTGAAATGGATCAATTTTCTCTGCCAAGACAAATCTTAAATCTTGAACAGATAGGGTCATTATTACACCAGCCCCATTTCAGAAATAATGTATTTTTAAAAAATCAGCCGATAGCAGCCATTTCCAGCTTTCCAATTATCTTTAAGAAAAGCTTATTCTGTGGACAATAAAGCACATTACTGCACAATATGATACAGTCCATAAAGATCACAATGTTTTATGAAAGGTTAAAGAAAGCTCAGCACATTTAGGGGAATGTCATAACCTGCAAAGTCTTTCAAGACGTAGCTGAAGGCGTGGGCAGGCTGTGCAAATATTGTGCTAGGCAACGCGGCATTCCTGTTCAGTATCAAAACAGTGAAGGAGAAAGCATATGCCAGGATGATTCTATTGTGAACCCTGGGGTTCCTACAGATAAGATGGGAGAGGACATCAAATCATAAGAAACACCTCTCCTCATTTGTGATTCATAGGAGACTATATGCTGACACGATGGCATTTCTATTGGCTTGGTACCCAGTGGCCCACTTTCTTGTTTTCTCTTCAAGCAACTTTTCCATGCTGTTTCATTAATATTAATAAAACTATACAGAGAATTTTTAAAAAGGTCTCTGATTTTCCCCCCATTCTTTGTAAATGCCCCACCAGATATAAATGACTATAGAACAATGGATGGGTGCAGTGATACTGCCAAAAAAAAAGGCAAAAAATTCGTAGATGCCCAGTATAAAATGGCTTCAGTATCAGGGTATGGGATTTGGAGATCAGTCCATATTTTCTTCTGTACTAATAAAATGCATGAAACAGTTTCAGAGGTTAATGTTCCCTTATCAAATTTAGAGAGGAAGAGTTCACTCTTTAGACAGTACTGATTATCTGTTATGGACAAGGCTACAAAGGGATCAGGGGATAGAGGGAACTCAGTCACAGTCCCTCAAGGAATTTACACAGATTGTCGTGATT